CATGCCCAGCTTCATCACTTTAACTCGTCCTAGATCAGCTGTTAGGCTCGGCGACGAGGTTATTTTAAAATGCTTGTTACTGTAGAACGCTAAGAAAAGCTGTTACCGGGGCTGGGTTTACTACTTGATGAACTAGTTGCTATTTCACTGACTGTTACTTTAAGTCAGGGGTGTCCAAACCTTTTTCACTGTGGGCCACATACAGAAAAATACACAAAGGGCTGGGCCACTCACTAGAGCTGAGGTATTTTGCCTCATAAGTTAAAGGTGGGGTAGGTGAGTTTGATAAACCGGCTCGAGATACATTTTTTGTTATATTCCATGGAATATTCTTAACATCCCGATAGCAATGAATATCTTAAGTGCTTAAAATCCATAAAAAAATGTCATCTGTGGAAGCCGTAGTGCTGTAAAAAACACGACCAATCATCTGAGCCGGCCCGGCTAAAATAACTGGATGGCCTACCTGCCTGTCAGCCTTCCATCTGTGCACAAACTTATCTCGTGCCCTCATTGGTCATGTGCGCGTTCGTGTGTGTTGGAGGAGGGGCTCTGTAAGGAAGTGGCAGATTTCTTCCGGCTGTGTATTTTCAAATTCTAGCGCACTCGAGCTGGTTTCTCCAAAATGACCTACCCCACCTTTAAGTTATAAGTTGGAAAAGTCAATCCAATGTAGGTAAATTATTCTTGATACTTGAAAATGCTGTAAGAAAAAAACAGCTCATAGGTCTCCATGGGGTTTCATTTATTTTGTTGGCAGCTCATTCCTTAAAACAGGAGCTTCAGATTGATTATAAGAAGAGGAAATATGGAGGGTAGATTTCAAGGTTGTTATGTAAATGTGTTATTGGGCTTTTTTCTTATCAACTTAGATTTGTTAGAACATATTTTGAACTTTAAATGAATGAATTTATCTGAAAATTTGGCGAATTAACACGTGAATACTGTGTACATATATTTGAACATATATATATTTAAGAAGTATAATATAAGACAAGCAGAAGTTTATTGTACTTAAGTCATTATACTTTTTTAATTTGCTGAGTGAGGGCCGATTCAAAATGGTCCGCGGGCCACATTTGGCCCTCGGGCCGTAGTTTGGACACCCCTGCTTTAAGTCTTAAAATCCTGGAAACTGATAGACCATTCTTATACACTCCTCCTTCAGCAACGTTTACATTTTAAAGGTGTACATACAAACGATACACAGTCATTCTCCTACAGCAAGTCCCTGCTTGTGATGTAGTATACTGTATTCAGAGTGTTTCAGTGAAACGACATTGTATTGTACTTTTTAAAGAAATAACTTAAAATGACATATTTATTGTTCAGATCTTTTACATTCCCCAACACGAGTACAGTGATGTTCCCATTATTTGATGTTGAGCTCATCACACATGTCTTCAGGCTAAACGGTGGAAATCATAATTGTAAAAGAAGTTTAAGATGTTCTAAAATATTTATACTAATAATATTTAAGTGTTTTGTTTTGAAATTGCTTTGATTATGTATCAAGAGTTTGATGAACAGTTGAAGAAAGGGATTATTGGACAGTTACTAAAGTATGTTTATTTGATACAAATCTTCCTCCTTGTCTTATCACTGTGTTAGCAGACTGGGATGTTCTGCTTTAAGAGGTACTTTACTAAAAACTGTACAAATTGTGGATCTACTTTTACAGTAAAATGACTCGACTCAACCTTTTCATGTGTGCTTTGTTTTAAACTCTAAGGTGTTTTATTTCTCTGCTCATTTGTGGTTTTGGAGGTTGGTGGGATGTGTGAGCTATTTCCCCTGAAGAGGACTCTCAGTCATAACGACTTTCTCTTGACTCATCTACCGGTTTTTAAGTTTGTTTTTTACTTCCGCTTATGCAGTTAGTTTTTTTAAGCCACCATATAACTGGTAATCGATGTAAAGCGAAAACTAAACTCACAGGAGAACCTAAGCCCTGTCTTAATGAGAAGTGTCAAATCTAATAACAACACATATTTCATTTTACTCTATGGTGCATTTTATGAAATAAATATTTGTTTCATGAAATAACCACACACTAATTGGACCTTGTGAAAAACATCAGAAGCAGCCAAAGACCAACAAGAAGCACGAGTGTCCCGATACTGTCAGCTGTTTATACGCATACTCTATGATTAAAGAGGCCCTATTGTGCTTCTCGGGTTTTCCCTTTCCTCTAGTCTGTTATTTAGCCTGCAAAGTCTAAAATCCCTCATTCCCTCCAGAGGGAGTTTCCCCCCCCCCCCCTGCCTGAAACGCCTCCATTAGACTCCTTTGTTTACTTCCATGACATAGTGACATCACTATGTAAGACTTGCACCTTTATTGGCTAGTGCTCCAAGACATTGTACGTGATAGGCTAAGGGGCGGGACATCTCTAAGCGGTTGACCAATCACAACAGAGCCGGCCAGCTAACCAATCAGAGCAGACTGGGCTCTGGTTTCAGACAGAGGGTGAAAAGAGGTGCTGCAGCACAGGCAGTGTGAGAAAAATAAAGAGCTTTTTGAACATTAAAGCATGGAGGCATGTCATGTCATGTTTAGGCATGTCTGCCTTTAAAGCACAACCTCAATGCAAGCTTCAGAGAGTAAGAACGCTACCAGATAAATCCAGGTGGAGTTAACCCCATCATGATGGATGACATTTTTATTGTCTGTTTGTTTGCCCATCACCTCATCAGCCATGTTTACCCTCATTTTTCTTCTCTGTCCACTCGATTCACCAACAATCTAATCTGATCTATGTTCCCACATTCTAACCCAAAACATTTCTACTTCCTAGATCCCATTCCTCGTCCTCCTGATCCTCCTCCTCCTCCTCTAAAAAGAAATTTTCCATTACGCTCAGTCACCCGTGTTTATGGCCATACAAGGTCATGAGAATGATTTGAGCTGTCTGTCTCCCTGCAGCAGGTCCAGGTGTTTGCACAAAACGTACTGAAGCAGAAACAGGCAGTGCGTATGTAAAGTTAGAACACATCACGCTATCAATACATCAACAAGTTCCCCTTCTGGTTCTACAGGTTAGATTTATGGCTACCCGCACACTATACTTAAAGTGGACCTATCATGCTATATTTGAATAATATAGTGTAGGACCATACCTATATAAGGCATATTTATACTTTTTATTTTTCAAAATACCAAACAGATCATGCATTTTAGCCATTCCTCATTTCGCTCAATTTAACACTGTCTTAGCATGGGCTGATTCTGTGAGAACAGCACCATCTACAGGCCTGGCATATGTACTACAGCGTCTCCAGCGCTTTCCAACGGCAATGTCTGTGGCTGTCTCCTCCTGATTGGTGGAGTTGGCCCAATAGCCGTGGCGCCACTTCTGTGACGTCATAGAAGTGTTCAAATCTGGATCAGTCTGTATCAGATCCGTTGCAGCCCCTTTTTTAGAGATTTGGGTATGGAGGAAAATAGAGAGGGTTGTGTTTTCTGACACTTGGTGAGTTCCCTGGAACACCGGGGACACATATTCATGTATATAAGACGTACAAAAGTGCATTTTGCATGATAGGTCACCTTTAAGTAAAAGTACCCATAACTAGCAGCTGTTTTAAAGAGTACCTGACCTCCCTTTATATTAATAGAACAATAATGTCATTGTTAGCTAATGAATGTTTCCATGCTGAACAACGGCAACATGACAACGTTTTCATTGGTCCCTGTTCTTTAGAGAAGACCAGGAAATGATAGATACACGGATCGTGTTCAAAATCAATAGGCACGCAATGACTCTAGATAATAATGATCACGCCACCAAACACACATTCAGACTAAAAGGAACCAGCCTGTTTGGAAAATGGAAGAAGTAGAAGTCAAAAAGTCGTACAGAAANTAGCGTTGTGTGTTCCTTCCAAACAACTCAACTTTGGTTTCATCTGTCCACAGAATATTTTGCCAATAGTGCTGTGGAACATCCAGGTGCTCTTTTGCAAACTTCAAACGTGCAGATCAGAACACATTTTATGACCAACTTATGCAGAAATCCAGGTAATTCCAAAGGGTTCACATACTTTTTCTTGCAACTGTATATAAGGCATATTTATACTTTTTATTTTTCAAAATACCAAACAGATCATGCATTTTAGCCTTTCCTCATTTCGCTCAATTTAACCTGTCTTTGCATGGGCTGATTCTGTGAGAACAGCACCATCTACAGGCCTGGCATATGTACTACAGCGTCTCCAGCGCTTTCCAACGGCAATGTCTGTGGCTGACTCCTCCTGATTGGTGGAGTTGGCCCAATAGCCGTAGCGCCACTTCTGTGACGTCATAGAAGTGTTCAAATCTGGATCAGTCTGTATCAGATCCGTTGCAGTCCCTTTTAAAGAGATCTGGGTATGGAGGAAAATAGAGAGGGTTGTGTTTTCGGACACTTGGTGAGTTCCCTGGAACACCGGGGACACATATTCATGTAGAAAAGACGTACAAAAGTGCATTTTGCATGATAGGTCACCTTTAAGTCAATAGGTGTGTTTAAAGGTATGCAAATTATGTTAATAAACATAATTAATAAAGGAGGTAGTGTATGTTTGCAAAGTTGCTTGTATAGGCTGACACTAAAGTCTAACCTCTTTGGGAGATAAAATGTGAGTCAATATAAATGTACACTTTCTGATACATGTGTGTGTGGACATGAATACAATATAACATGTATTTTAGGGTAAAACAACACATTGATCTGCCAAATGATTGAGGATGGAGCAGGTATGTTTTCCTCACACAATTATTATTACAACTAACACCTACTGCATTTAACCCTTAGATGATTAAGTGGGTCTTTTTGGACCCGGTGAGGTGGTTTTCTTGAAGGTCCTTTTTGACCCACTTAAGGAAGAGTGTGGGGTCCAGTCACTCTAAGGGCATCGAAGGGGAAAGGAACACTATGTAAGTGGACTGAGCAGAAACTCCTGCCCTCCTGCTTCTACTCATTTTGTAAAAAGCAGAAGAAGAAATAAGAGAAATTAAAAACAAAAGAATAACCCTCAGTGTTCATGAGGGGAAATCATTCATTTCCAGACGTCAACTTCTTCCTCTAACACCTTGAAATAGCTCTGTACTGTATATATTAGCACTAACACTCTTTACACTAGAAGGTTACAATGCATCTGTCACACCCTCAATCGTCTACGTAACAGGAAGCCCCTCTGGCACCGAGCGTTACTGTAGGACAGACTGTTCCTGAACAGTGTTTATATTGCAAATTAACTACCTGAGCCACTGTGTCAACACCAGATGAAGCCATACAGATGAAACCTCATGAACATGAAAAGTATCTCTGACACGTGAACTAGAACAAGACACAACATGTTCCTATTAGAAACAGATAGTGTGCAGATGAACAGAGCATCCCGGCCTACAAAGCTGGCACTTTTAAAATCTTTGGCCAAACAGGAAGACGATGTTCTCTCATTTGCATGATCCCTGCGCCTGCTTCAACATCAACACATTAAAGGGGGCCTATCATTGTCATTTTCATGGTCATATTTGTATTTTGTGCCTCTACTGACATGTCTCTCTGCTTTAATGTTCAAAAATATGTGCGGCAGAAACTCTTTTCACCCTATGTCTGAAACCAGAGGCCAGGGTGCTCTGATTGGTTAGCGGGAGGGTTACATAGTGATGTTACATGGGGAAGTGTGTGGGAGAGAAACTCCCTCTGTAGGGAACACAGGGATTGTAGCCTTTGCAGATTATTAACGTGCACAAAAGCTAGATCACACACTACAGGGAAAACCCCCCAAAAGCATGAAAGGGCTCAACCCAATTCTCCAGCGACTGGTTGCAAGAAAAAAAGCGTAACATACCAAGCAATACAGGTAGGCTATATATTGAAAGGAATTTAGGATAACATGCAAGAAATCGGTAGTTATCGATGCACTCTAAAATGTGTTTTTGGCGGTAAATATCGTAAAGGCTGTCTGAGGATCAGTTGGGATGCTTCTTTTATCTTTGCAGTAAAGGGGAACTGAGAAGTGTGAAGTTCCTGTTCAGACAGCTGCAGTTCCCTCTCTGCACTGTGATGTTATTAGGAATAGCTAACACTGCCCTCTGGTGTCATTCCATGGACCAAAGTGACAAAACTACAGGCTTCACAGAAGATGTAAATTGAGAAATGGTGAAACAGTCAGTCAATGGAGAAATTAGTCAATAGCTAGTGAATAAATCATAAACAATTCTTATCAATTCATGTTTTTTATCAGGCGGTACGCAAGTCATTTCCTGGATCCAACGTTGAGGATTAATTTTCCTTCATTGATATTTTAACATATTTGGCTTTTTTTTCTTGAATCCCAGCCAGGCTGCGGGTGTGTGTGTGTTTCGGGCTGGGTTTCGCTGTGTCTCGCTGTCTCGCAGACGGCCACTGGGCTCACAGGGAGGGGAGGGGGGGGCAGGAGCTCCAACAAGCCGTGTAGGACAGAGTGAATACACATACTATACAGAGATGCTGTTTGAGAAACCAATGTGAGTTTGGAACATTGCATAATATAAATGTATTTAGACCTCAACTATGGAATTATGATCAGTGGAAATGGCCATGACATGGGACCTTTAACTTAGAAAACTGTAATTTGACTCCTTTTTGGCATTCAATAGACCAACAAAGTAACAGTATGTAAACGGTTAAGAATTGAATCGAGAATTGTTGTTTCAGTCCTGGTTTTTAAAGTGAATAAAAGTAAAAGTAAATAAGAACAAAATGACCTGATAATGAAAAACTGTGAAGACAATCCAGCTTCTAATTTAAATATCTAAATCATAACAAAGAGTAATTCATTTTCAGGATACGTTTTATGGAAAATGCAGTTCAATAGACAGGCAGGTTTTTTTTTTTACATCAAATCATAAAACTTGAGAGGTTCTCAGGTTTCACTGGGGAGAGTTTACGGGACGATGTTGAGCATGTTGTGCTTCTACAGTTTGATGAAGTAAGGCATATTTCTACATGAGGAGAGAAGACAGACTGTGAAGATCGTTAATCTGCAGGTTTATTTTATATGTTACTTTATATTTCAGACGTAGTTTTTTGGGATTTCTAGCTTTGCAGGTGCCTTTGAAATATTGACTTGTGTGAATTCTGTTTGAGGGTGCAACTTTAATAATTATAAGTATTTTAGAAAACAGGCAAACATCTTTAAAATCCATCCAGAAGGATTTTGCATAGTAGAATATGCATTAATATACAAAGTCTGTGAGCAATGTCAGAAGTTAAAATCCCAACCAAAGAAGCTCACTGACTTTTGGTTTGGTTTTAGGGTTCATTCCAGTCTCATTTCACCTGAGCAACATCAGCTGAGAGTGGTGCAGTGACGACGTCGTTTTGTAGAACAAACCGGAAGTTTTAGATTCAAATTTGTACATTGGGTTTCGAAATATTGCCGGAAAAAAAGGTCTATGGCAAACACACGTTTATGATACCTACACTTTTCGGTCAGCAGGAGAATCTGCACACATTACCTCCACTTTAATGTATTTGTTTTTTATTTAAGTGTAACCGCAATTGCCAGAAATAAAGAGCTAACTTTAAGCTATAAAGGAACTACATCACTGTCCCATGACTTCGAGTCACCACCGTTAAGCTAAAGGTGGCTAATGTTCGGCGTCATGATGTTAGCAGTCTCTCTTATACCTCATTCACACCAACGGTGTTTCAGGGCCGGTTCGGAGCTGGAGCTTGAAAAGCACCGGGTTTTCCTGTTCACACCGCAGCGGAGCAGCCTCTTAGCTCCGGAATCCGGTTCGTTTCAAGCACTAAAAAATTGTCCGGCCAGAGCAAAAGCACCGCATAAATCACGCTTACGTCAAGGCGGGGGCAGGGGGAATTGGAATCGGAATCGTCGTTGAAGTTGATGATTACGATTGTAAAGCAGTTTTGAATGTAGCATGTAACGACTGTAAAGTTGGTAGGAAAGTCGTCCATTTCGTTTCGACAGAGCAAAATCAATACGAGTAGCGCTTCAACACAATCTGGCCATTGTGGTTGTTGTCGGTGTCAGCTGTGAGGGGTTTCCGCGCGGTTTGGCTTTATGAAGCAGGCACGCAAACGGTTACGTCATGACACAAACAATGACGCAATGACGCAGCACCAGTCGGACTCTGGGCGGTGTGAAAAGAGCCGGAGCTAAACAGAAGAACCGGTTCTGAACCTGAAAAGCTCTAGCACGGAGCTTGAACCGGAGTTGCGTTGGTGTGAATGAGCTATTAGCCGCTTGTTAGCACCTGCTGTTTTTAAGTCACGTAAAAGCTTCAGACGTTCACCAGCTGGGCGTTATCTGACTTATCTCATGTCGTAGAACAAAACGTGAACATCTCTTTAGCTTGTGTTAACCACGGACCTTATTTCAGCCATATAACCCCAAATACGATCAAAAAATGTTGATTACAGGTGGAGAGAACCAGAAATGTCCAGGTTTTAGGACTCATTCCTGCACCACTCGATACATGGCTCCACCTCAGCTGTATGTGTGGATGATTCTGTGGCGTTTCAAATGGTGCATCAGGATGAATGTCTTCCCGCAGAGCGAGCAGCTGTAGGGCCGCTCCCCGCTGTGTGTGCGCTGGTGGACCCTCAGGCTGCTCTGCTGCGTGAACCTCTTCCCACACTGACCGCAGCCGTACGGCTTCTCGCCCGTGTGTGTCCGGTGGTGGATGTTGAGGTGGGACGAGCACTGGAAGCTCTTCCCACACACCGTGCACCAGAACGTGCGCTTCCTCTTGTGGCTTTGCTGGTGCAGCTTGAACTGGTGCAGACGGCCGAAGGTCTTCCCGCAGTGCGAGCAGGAGAATCCCCGAGTCGATCCGGAGAAAGACCTGTGGGACGAGGGAGGGTGGAAGCTGCCTGTTTGGACGTGAGAGTGACTTACGACCGGTCTATCTGAGGCGGCACTCTCCCTATCCGAGTGTTCATCTGGATGTGAGGGGTTTCTCTGCGGACCTCCCTGAGGTCTGGGTTGAAAACCGGAAGACTGTGGACCATCCTTCTGAAACTCACTGTTGTACATCCCATTACACGGCCTCTGAGTGCTTGCAGCCTTGGTCGAACCCACATCAGAATGGTCCGGAAAGGTGTTGGAGTATTCCTCTACCACACTAGAAAAGTCAGGGAAACCTGCATCAATGTCGTCGCCTTCAATGATGGAGGACCAGAGCTGGGAGTCTCTCTCATCCAAGGAAAAGTCAGCGGCAAGTGGAGTCTGCTTGGCTGCGCCGTGCTGGCACCCGTCCTGACTAAATCCTGAGCGGTCCTCCTGCTTCTCCGTCTTCACCGTGAACTGAAGGCCACTGATGTCTCCTGCACGCGCTGCAGAGTTATACAAGTCACTGAACTCTGATGATTTTCTTGTGCCGCCCTCCGAGAGGTTTAACTGACGGTCCTCCTCCAGCTGCTGGCTCTCTGGAGCGTTAGCTGGACGGCGGTATTGACCAGCAGAACCTGCAAATGAAAGGAGAACTCATGAGGGATTGTGTGAATAATGTGAGCATTAATGATTATTTTTGGATTTAATTCTTTAACAAAATCCAATTCTTTAACTCACCAATCGGCCTTGCAGATTCACTGATCCACAGCATCTCATCTGGACTTTCTTCTTTAATGGTGAACGAAACTGTGGCTTCGTCAATATCAGGAAACTAGATAAAGAGAGGATGGCTTCAACTTTAGTTAAGCTGTGAACACAACATGTAATAACCTTATGAAATGGATTTGATGAACACGTTGGACTATACACTATTTATAAATGGAGCAGACACACTTCAACATTATCTAACTTAATTGACTTGGGATACTTACTACATTCAAATCCTCAGGGAACATGACACTGCTTTTACTGTTGTTTATCTTTTAAACTGTACATTATTAACATGCATTTACACTTCTTGTATTTATTTGTTTCTATTATTGCACTATATATTGGTATCTTGTGCACTTTCCTATATCTTGTCATCTTATGAGCATTTATTTGCAGCCGCGATTATTATTATTATTATTATCCAATAATCTCCTTTTCTGCACTACACCAATTACTGAAGAGAATATCTGCACGTTAGGTGCTTACATCGCCCATATGTTCAGCAGCTAATCATTCATTCAACCAGTCAGTTTGTAGTTCTGGGACATTTTATTTGTAGCTCCTTGATGTTGCTAGAAAGTGAACCCACTGGTGAGAGCCAGAGCTAATGTTAGGGCTGCTTGATTATGACAAAAATCATAATCACGATTATTTTTGGTCAATAACTGATATCACGATTATTAAAAATGTACTTTAAAGCATCCATTTCATTAAAAAGAAAATTTGAACAGTAAGTTTTTAACAGTTGATTACCCAGAACTTTAAGTATAATTAAACTGAAAAAAATTAAAAATAATAATAAAATAATATTAGTTTTATTTCGATTACGTTGTTTTCGTAATCGTTGCAAGCCATAATCGTAATTGTGATTAAAATATGATTAATTGCACAGCCCTAGCTAATGTACACATTTAGTTTGGAGCCGCTTGTATTCATGATAAGTATGTTCCACACCAGTGTCAGTGCTGCTCAGGTGAAATAAGACAACAATGCTGGGCCTCCTACTTGGTAGACCCGGGCAAAACATTGACTTCAATGAAATACAACCAATAAATAATTTGTCCATATAGGAAAACGGGGGGCTTTTGGGGCCCCTGGTGGCTTTTGGCCCAGAGGTTCATGTACATCTACACAGATATTACTGAGTAATAATGTTGACAAAAACAAGAAATATGAAAACAACACAGACCTTAATATCTGCAGTAGGATGTGGACAGCTCCGCACATCAGTTCCTCTGTCCATGTAGTTTTCTGGTGCAGGTAAAGAAAAATACATTAAAACAAAGTCAAATGAAAAACAATTTTGGAGGATTTGCATTAAATTATATCAACAATGTAAGTAATGTAAGAAGATATCGATCCTACAGAGGTGTCTTGTTCTTATTTCTCTTCAGTTGTACTGTATCATAAAGCGTGTATCATGTTGTACACTACTACATTAATATGCATAATACATGAGTTTACAGGAGTAATAATTAGCAGCATTATTAGTCATAGAGCCTCTCACCAAACCCCCGCTGCAGCTGACCTCTCTTGTTTTCCATCATCAGTAATTTCCTCTTCAGTAACTCATTCTCGTTTTGCTTTCGAGATATTTCCAGATGCAGAAACGCACATTTGTCATCGACTAGTTTGGATATTTCTGCCACAGCTGCTTTCACCAAAACCTCCATTATAGAAGATAACTGGGTTTGAAAGGGAATGCACGTCGCCATGCTGATTCATGTAAGGTAATATATAAGGGTAAAATATAAGAAATACGTCTTTAAACGCAATGGTTTTTATAAAAAAATGCGAAAAACAACCGACGCACTAAGATGTTACATCCCTGAGA